AGCTTCCTTTGATACATCTTTCATTCGTAGGAAAATATTCCTCTTCTCTGGTTTACTTAGGTAATCTTGGAAACGACTGGTAAACTGAATCATCGTGAAGTTAATCTCGCTTCGAACAGTTTTCCGTCGAAATTTTATCACTTTTGACGGACAGTCGAGGAATTTGCTTTTAGATAACTTTGGAAACGATCGAAGTTCATTTCACAGCGAACTAAATCGGTTTTCCCATCGAGTTTGACGATCGAGAAATTTCTAAAATTCACAGGATCAATTTACCTTCTATTTTTCACTGTAATCTTGGAAACGATCGAGGTTCGTTTCACAGTTAACTAAATCGTCGCCAAGTTAATTTCGCGTTGTTCAGTTTATCCGTCGAAGTATTCCAAGCGATAGAAATGTATGTAACTATATTTCTCTCGATTTGAAGCACGAGCTCGCACGTTTCACAACCTTTCCATGCGGTACACGAACAGTTTGCAGATTAAGGTAGTTATCGCCTGAGACACAGTCAAACATTTACCGCTAAGCTATAATACGTACTTCTAACTTCGGAGGGGAAAGAAACAAGAAGAAGAAACAGGGATGGTCGGGAACGCAACAGGAGAAATCCAGCAGGAGGAAACCAAGAGGGGGGATGATTCAGCCCATTTATGTATATTTACCATTCTCGATCATCGATTGATCTAATCGTCGATCTAATGTCGAAATTATTTTAAAAATGTTCCAATCTACCGCGTGACTCGAGCACAAATGGCTGAACGATCGATCTCGACGCACGGGTACCAAAATGGACGCTCGTCGTTCACAGGAGAGCCGGAGGTCTTTGTCCAAATTGATCACCGTGCTAAATAAAAGTGATTTGTTTCTTTTTTTTTTTTTTTTTTTTATCGTTCTCAGTCTTCGAAGTCTGTAGTAGCGTTCGCGTGGTACGAAAATAAAGTCGTCGAAGGTTTTGAGATCACACGGCTCGCGGGAATCGCTCGATTGTTTGAAGATCGCAGACAAAGTGGACTGCCGATGAATTCGGTGGCGCCGTTTTCGTACCGGAATCGGTAGAAACGGTGCACACCTCGCGAACGTTACTGCTATACGCCCCTTGAAACCTCGGACACCCTTAATTTGTACTTTAAACATGAGGATACCTGGTTGCCATGACGGGCGGCCTCGTTTTAGTGCGTTCTGTGTTAGGCGAAATATTGATATGGTTAGATTTTGCAGTTGTTAGAGATGTTTTGATATTCTTTCGATTGATTGTTTTCTCGGGTGGCTGAAGATCTTGGATAACGAGATGCAGGAATTGAGAGTTTTAATATTTTTTGATTAATTAAGTTTGATTGTTTCTTCTTTTTGATATTTCGATCGAGAATAGGTGTGTATTTTTTGTTTAGTAACAATTGTATCGATTTATCTGTCATTTTGATTCGATGCTTCGTTTGTCGATACATTTCTGGCATATTTGTGATTGTCACGATTAAGTGTTTTTACTTTTTTTCTTTGAATTCGAGAATCTTTTGATACTCGAGGTAATATCTTGAGGATAGAAGGAAATCTTGTCTGAACGTATAGCAATGTACAGTTTAACCTTTCTTTTTCTTGAAGCGACAGTTGATTCTAATCTCAGGGATGGGTTTCCGACAGCAAGAAAATTGATGACCCATCCTTGAGTTTGGTTCTGTACTTCAATTGTCGGGAGAGAAGCAACGGGTGGGCGGAAGCAATTCTTTGAATGAAAGATTGGTAAAGAAATTTATAAAATTGTCGGGAACAGTTCGCAATGATTTTCCAAAAGTATCATATTTCTGAATATCTTGAAAATTCACTAATTTGCAATGTTCTGTGCAACATTTAACAATTCTAGAAATTTTTCAATGAAACAAAATACAAAGTTTCTCATACAAAAATGCATAACGTTTTCAAAAAATTCTCTAAAGGAATATAACACTGAGATCTTCCAAATCTTGCATTAAAATTTCTAATAAGCTGCACACCACAGTCTAAAAGACTTTGCAAAGGAACAAAGTACCACGTTTTTCAGTATTTTCCTCATAGGTATATGATGAAAATTGTCCTCTGAATTATCAATTTGCACAACAAATGAATTCCCAAATCTCGAACGGAGGATTTACAATAATCACCTTCTCCAAAATCTTCAGTTTTCGCAACGAATAAATTCCCAAAGCTCGACCAGCGGATTAACAATGATCCCAAAAGAAAACTTAAGATTGACCATCTCGACACCTTCGAATCTCCTCGGATCTTCCGTCGACCAAGAGGAATCTCTGTCAAGCATTGTCGAACCACCCGGAAACCCGTGTCAATCGCTCGAAACATTTCCTCTTCCCTCTCCTTCTGCCGCACAAAACGTCAAGCCGCGGAACGCGTCCATTTGTTCGTGACGAGTAAGCGTGTCTGTGAAATCGTGCGTTATCGTCGCTGAGACACGTAACGCGTGGAAACGAGGCCGCTTCAGAATCAATCCGCACCCCTCGGAGAATCGAGCACGGATCCGCCATATTTTCGGCTGAGTGCTGCTCGAGAGACGATACATCTTTACGTTCCCCTGAGTTTGATTTCAACGTGAACATCTCACTCTCGCGTGCGCTCTTTCTCTCTCTTTTTCATTCACTCACACACACTCACACACGCACTTTCACACTTGTTCGTTCTCTCATTTTCTCTTGCTCTTTCTCTCTCTTCTTTTTTACGTGTTTACGGTATTATTTTCTTCTTTTTTTTTGTTCTTCTTACGCGGGAAAAAGGGAAAACTCTCTGCAAAATAGACGATGCGGGAGAACGGGGAGAATGCGAGCAGGGTTGTTCGTCATCTCGACAGCACGCGTTCCTCTCGCGAGCGCGCGGAGAACACCGAAGAGGGATGCTTTTTCGTTCGCTTGTTTTTCCCGGCGAAATTGCGATCACGCGAAATCTTCGCGTTTATGAAGGATGTTTCCGTTGCGTGGATAACGATTTTCAGTTATTCGAGCTGGAATAGGTAGATGCGAGATTTTTCTGGGCTTTCTCGAGGATGCCGAGGATTGTGGATTGATGGCTTGAAATTTCACTTTTTCACCGATTTCGAAGTACTATCAGGTCGTCCAATAAGTTAGTATACGTTTGTACTAGAGCTGCTACTATTCGGACATCCGAATACTCGAAATATTCATTATAATCCGGAATTGGAGACGAAATCCGAGTTTGACTTGTATCCGAGTATTCGAATATCTAGATTCGGATTGTTGAATCCTCGAGTACTCAATTTTCTTTGTTAACTACTCAAACATGAAGCTTTTCATAGCTGGATTTAGAGTAGAGGAAGCAAATTTAGGTAATGGATTGAAATTGAAGAATGCAAAAATTAGTACGTATAGGAAACTGTTCGACAATGATATTCATCATCGTGAGGGTAATACGGATGTACTTATATGGGTATTCGAATCCAAATCACGCGACTATCCGGATACTCGAGTCTAAATTGAGTAGTTATACGCGTACTTGGATACTCTAGATTCGGATATTTGAATTCAAATCATGCAAATAACCGGATATTCGGCTCTAAATTGAGTAACCTGAATATTCGAATCCAACACTCGGATACTCGAGTCTAAATTGAGTAGTTATACCCGTACTCGGATACTCAAGATTCGAATATCTGAATTCAAACCACGCGAGTACCCAAATACTCGAATACTTGGCTCTAAATTGAGTATTCGGATACTCGACTCTAAATTGACTAGCTATCCGAGTACTAGAATACTCAAAATTCGCTCTTCTGAATTGAAATCCGAATACTCGGATACTCGGCTCTAAATTGAGTAGCTATTCGAGTACTCGGATACCCAAGATATCCATAAAAAAATCCGAGTAGCAGTAAGAGCTCTAGTTTATACTCTTCACTATGTGTTTTGTATTTCGAATTACCTTCGGGAAATGAAACCATTCATTCAGGCGTGTATACACTGTGCTCGGTTAGAAAAGTTCAGAGTAGCAGTAGCAGTGAAACGTGCAGGTCTCTTAACTTTCGTGCATTACAACATTTTTTAGTCGGCAACGAATTTGACAATATCCACACTGTAAAGAACAACATTGAAAAATATTTGAATAAAATACCAAAGAAATTTCATAGGCGTAATGACTTCGCCAAAAATATGGGTAGAAATTGAGGAACAGGAGGGTGAATACATTCTTTCGTAGCATTTAAAGGTATGTTCGAAATATCGATCTAAATTGCATATCAATAAACGTCACAAATTTATCGGACGACATAATAGAATCGCTTCTTTTCAGAAGCTTGTTCTTCCTTTATCTCGCGATAATTTTTCCAAATTTCTAATCTTCCGCTGACATCTTCTCTCAGCGAAGTTTCAGAACGAAGCTTTAACGATATTCAAATGTAAATTGTTCAAATATACGAAGAGTTGGAAGTTAGAGTTCTTAGATGTTCGCTGCTTGAGATTTCTAGAATTGGAAATATTTTTCGACCACTTTGCGCCTTGAGAGCTTGGCAATATTTTAACACGAAACTCTCAAAATTAGCAGAGGATTTCGAAAGTTTTGTTCACAAAGAGAGCACGGAAAGTGACGGTGAAATATTAAGCAGATGAATATTTCGCTCTTTGAATAGACGAAACTGTGCAGAATTTCGTTTTACATCTATATGTAGGTCCAAGGATTCGAGCTTACTCTCTCATTCTATCCCCAAATCTCTTCTCGATTATACAATTCTCAATTTCTCATATTCTCCACCAAGGTGACGAAAGAAATTTTTCACGTGGAAAGGAAAAGAAAAAACGTAGAAATAAAATTTCATCCCCCATCATCCCTCTCGTATTGCTCGCAAGAGAAACGTTCGCTAGCAACGAAACGAAAACCCTGAATATGTGCGCGGGTACACGAGAGTGTGTGTACACGTACACATACACGGGGATATATCATATACATATTATATATTGTATTTATATTTATATATATATATATGTATATATATATCGTCAACAAAGGAATTAGCGTCCTCTTGCCCATCGCAAAATGGCATCTGCCAATACGTCAAGGTGAGCTTTCGTCTGGAACAGAACAGAAAACAACGTTTGCTCGTGATAGCATGATTCGACATGAAAGCTGGCAGTTTCGTTTAAGGACGCCAATAGGTATGTATGTACAACGTGAGCTGACAAAACCACGCATGTTCTCGTTACAATCATTGTATCAGCGGTTACAGTGGCGAAATAATAGAGGAGGATGTTAAAGAAAGGCCAATTTTAGCATACGGCCGGAACGAAAATTTTTTTTACAGCATGATTTTACGCATGCTAAAGAACGAAAAATGTTATTGTCATTTTTCCCGGAAATGATGGGAAAGTTATGAAAAATGTGGTTCAAGGTAAAATTTCTTTCTTCGTTTTCTTCGGATGATGGTCTGTTCGTAAATTAACCATTTAGAAACTCATATTGAGTATTATTTACAAAGACTGTTGTACATTAGTGTTTAATGAAAACCAAAAATAATGAAAAATAATTAATGACAAATTAATCGAAACAAGGAATTCTTTCATGACAATTGTTTATTCGAGTCGTAATTCTCAGAGAGTTGAGCGATCCTCTCAGACAGTCACTCTCAGACGTGTAGTGTCCACTCGCGAAAGATACTCTCGAGAGCAACTCGCGAGAGATACTCTCGAGAGCAACTCGCGATACTTTTACTCTGAAAAGGACAGCTAGCTTTGTTTGGCTCGATGTACGTACAGCGACCCAGGCTCGCAAGAAATATCACGAGTTCGAAGAAGTTAAGGCCTAGAATTATTCCCAGAACAATTGCGAGCGTACAGCGATAAGAAATCGGGCAGAACGACTCGTCCTCAGTCAGTGTTTACGAGGCTGCCGAACGAGTGCCTCGACGAACGTCGAACGTCGCTTATACTGCGCGATTGTAGTCTTGTAGGGAATACATCGAACAACGTGTTTTCGATTATACGCGGATTTCCAATCAATTTACGTACTTAGCATATTCGTTCGTGTGAATTAAGTGCCGCTGCATACAAGAAGCTAGTGCACCGAATTCAAGTACACAACGAACAGCTCAGTTTGAGAGAAAAATCAAACGAGAAGCGTGTCTCTGCGAGCTACAGAGTGTATGCGTGAATAATATGTATGTATATATACGTACACAATCGAATGATTGAGTTAATTGAAAGTAGAGGAGAGCCTACGTATAGCTAATTAGATCAATTACTGCAACAATTTCGTTTTATCGTATCCTAAGTTTATTTTTCTTGTTATAAGATGTGTTATAGCTATGAAACAACAACAAATTAGGTTTTTCACTGTTGTCTCCCCGAGACATATACATATTCTATCCTTTTCTGGAAAAACACTGTCTCTTAGTAATCAACTAAGTCTTTACACACGAGCTACTTCGTTTGTTATTATTCTAACGACAATATACGACGCGTAGTTCGACAGAACTCTGTATACATGTACGTATATGTTTAGACTGATATGTAAGATCAAACTTTTTCCTCTGGCTTTCATAGTGGATACACAGTTAAGAAATGCAAATTCTGTTAGAGTCTTACTTTTTTACTGTATCCCTGTCATGACGATTATTTTATTATACTTACGATAGTTTATTATAATTTTTATCATTTCGAGAATAAATAACTATTGGTTTCTGATTGCTTCGAATATAAGCATCGTGTCATCAAAGAATTCCTTGTTTCGATTAATTTGTCATTAATTATTTTTCATTATTTTTTTCAAACAATCTTTTTAAATAATACTAGATATGAGTTTCTAAGTGGTTAATTTACGAACAGACCATCGTCCTAAGAAAACGAGACGGAATATAAATATGGTCATACTCTTACCTTGAACCGCATTTTTCATAACTTTCCCATCATTTTTTGGAGACATGACAATTACATTTTTCGTTCCTTAGGATGCGTAGAATCATGCTGTAAAAAAATTTTTCGTTCCGGCCGTGTGCCAAAATTGACCTTTTTTTTAACATCCTCCTTTATGGAACAAAATGGTTTTCTTCTTTTGCTGAAATTAGGTGCTATTAAATGATAAAAGTTGAAGTAGCAGACGGATAAAATTTGTGAGGTGAATATTGTCTCTTCAGAATTGTGTTGGAAATTAAAATGATGAAAAGACAAAATTTAGATGATATATAAAGTATTTCAAGATTGAAACGTGTTTAATGTTTGACAATTTTTGTAAAAAAATAGAAAATAGCACTTTTAGGAATTTTTAATCAATGATCTCTAAGTATACTGTCTAGCAAGTTAGGATCTCTTAGACAGAATAATTTGGAAGAATGAAAACAGGGAATTTTTATGAAAATTTTAAATTTCACATAAAATTATGCAAATTGTAAAAAGGAGATTCCAGGATATTAGATCCAAAACACATATTTATAAAATCATTTTGAGGAAACCATAAAAAGGTTGGACAAAATACTACACAAAGCATTAATACAAATATTTTGAGGAAACCATAAAAAGATAATTGAATCAGTACAAGATCTACTAAAAACGTTTTTCAAATTCTTCAATATTCCACAAAAATACTGTCTACTGTCACACTTTCCTACAAGAAAATCTGCAATAAAAGCGTGCACAATTACATCCAAAATTATATCAAATTATAAAAACAAATCCCTAAAAACGAAGAAATTCAAACTAATATCTGGAATAAATACAGTCTCACGTTCCTCTCGTCAAAAAAGAAAACAAACAAATAAAGAAGAGAAATTAAAAATCCACAGATGAAGTAAAAAACTGAAACACTCTTTTTCCGACTAGCGAGGAAAAAGTGTCCCCGAGAATCTCGATATTCCGATCAGCTTCGCCCCGTTCGGTCGGTGGGAAGAAATTCGTTAAGCTAGTTGGAGAACTTTTCACGAAGATCCACGCGTTCTCGCGAGCATCTCCGGCGAGTTGATCGAGTTCGAGGCGTCGCGCTACCCCGGTAAAATCCAATTCGCCGTAGTTCGACGCGGCGGACTTTAATCAGATCCGAAGAGCCACCCACGTTGATCAGGTCAATTCCGTTTCGACAACGTTCTTCTTTTCCCTGGCTGTGCGTTTCGCTCGACGGAAACGGGGAGAACGTGGCGGCGGCGGCGCGGCTCGACCAGCCGGAAGGAAAAGAAGCGAATATCGATTTCAAAGGGGCGGAGAGACCGGGGCTGGAATCAGCCAGAGAGAAAGGTCAACCGTTCGCCGGATGTGAGGGATGATAAATCCGCTGGAGGGCGAGACACAACGCTCAGATTTCCCTCTGATCTCTCTTCCTTCTCCGCGCTTTTTCTTCTTCGCTTTCCTGTTTTTCTCCGTTCCTTATGTTTGTTTGTTATCGTGAAATACGTGGGAAACATGTTATCGCCGCGAGTCAATGTATATAGGGTGGATTCTAACGTGTAACTGGGACATGCTATACCTTTCTGAGTGAAGTTGGAAAAACACTGTAGAGAACTATTGAGGCTATCGGCGCGATAATAGACTAATTTACAATTTTCGGTGGATTGATTTTAATTTTGCGGTGGATTAATTGCGAGCAACCTTCTTGAACTTTTAAAAATAGAAACTTGTGAATATATTTTTATGCGAATTGACATTTCAGCGTAAACTTTCATTCTGGAGTGGTCTAAGCAACCTTGCAAAAGGAACACTTTTAAAGGTAGAATATTAAAGAATTTTTTTGAAATATTAGTAATTTTGACACAGACTTTTAGGGGTTAGATCACTATTACGCTGATAGCTCAATTTTGCACTATTTTGTTTATTTAACAGGTTCCGATGTTTTATGACACGATTTCTTTTCTGAATCACTTGTCTAATCAAAAATTTGAAATATTTTAAGAGTTTTTTTTTTCTCATATTACGAAGTTTCGTGGTAAACGACGATCGAGAAAGTACGATACAATTTGCTATAATAATAATTTGGCACAAGTTGCAACGTAAAGTCGACTGTCAGGCAACTCTAACGACTATAAAACGACTGTTACAATTCTAAGGCAGCTCAAACGGCTCTTACACCACTTGGACGACTCATACAACTCTTAGACGACTCTTGGAACACTGACCCTATTTGCAAGAAAAGCTCTTCCTTCACATCCCTTATCTTCAACCGTACACTCGCGTTTTTCAGGCTTTCTTCACCGAAAATGCTCAGAATTTTCTGAAGAATCAATCTACGTAATAAAAACCTTCCATTGCACTTTGCACAATACAGTTCTATAAAAAAAAAAATTCAATCGTATAATACTTTACACGATAAAATTTCATTGAAAAAAAAGGAAGTGCAAGTGCACTTTACACGAGGCATTTCCAATAAAAAAAAAAAAAAAACAGGAGCACCGATGAACTTGCGAAAAAAATTATTTCCAATCGAACAGTGCAAAATTTTCCTCTACGATTGTTTTCTAACTTGAGAGCAACGAAACTGGTTCATTTGGGGTTTAGAGATCTCGTGAAGAGTTTAGAGAATTTTCGTAACCGATTTGTGAGAGAAAATTGATCTTTTCTGTTGGTGTATTTGATAGTACATGGCACATCTAGTATTTGGCGAAACACGTGTCGAATGTGGGCGAATATTGCCGTTACACTCTTTATACAAGTAGTATGTTTGTGTAATTAATGGGTGGTTCAGTTCCGCTTTTATTGCTCAGGGTTGTTTGTACAGTTTGTACTGTAGCTTGATGAAGCTTAATAATGACTTCCACATTTGTTTCGTAATTATAGATCTACTGTTTCACGTGTTTTGCAATTTTTAAAGGTCACAGGTTATGGGACTGATTTATGAGTGTTACATTTAATTCGAGCCACTTAACATTGGATAGAAATTTGAAGAATGTTGTTAGAAATATGTTTCGACTTTTGAGCTTTCCTTGAGTATGTTAGCATTTCCAAAAATTCTTACTGTGCTGGAAATTCCTGGAATGTTCTGAATTCGAGCTGGGTCAAGTGACGTTAGGCAAATTCGTTTTAGGTGAACTTTGGTAGTTTCGAAGTGTTTGTCCATCAAAGGAATAGATTTGAATTTATATTTTCAGATTCGATCAGTTTTTCTTCGTATTTAGTAATATCCGTAATGAATTAAATTTAATTTAAATATGTGATATTTATTTTACGTACACTTTGACTTCTTGCAAATATTGATACTCTCGTTTATAAGTTCACTTACTACTTTTGATAAAAAGTTAATTAGTTTGGAAAGTGATATAATCTACGTTTCTTCCACAGTATAAGCAATAGACGTAATTATAAAATTACTGTTAGAAGAATCCCAGATATTCTTACAGACTTTTGAACGTTCAAAATTATAGAAAATTGTTAGGAAATACAAGCATATTTGAACGAGGTCCCATTTTTTCATCTTCTAGTTCTCAAATTTTCTATTAAAATGAAACTTTCAAAAATAAATCTGCAAGGCTCTGCAATTTTACAATTTTTCTAGCCTATTGAACCTTTTCGTTATTTTTATTTTCTTATTGTATTTTTATCGTCAAATTCTAAAAATCTCTAAATTCCCTGTTTTCTCTAATTTCACAATTGCAATTCCATAAATTTTCTAAAAAAGGAAATTTATATTTAATTGTATATTTAAATTTTCTAAGAAAATGAATTCTTCCAGGCTGAAACGTTCAAATTCATAGGAAAATGTCAAAAAATACGCGGATATTCTTCCACAATAAAAGTAATTAAGAATACTAAATATCCTTACAGACTTGAACGTTCGAAATAACAGAAAACACTAGCGCGTTTGAAAAAAGGACCCAATTTCATGTACAATTCTTTCCAGAAAAAAAAACAACTAAAAATACTAAATATTCCTTCAGACTTCCAACCTTCGGAATGACAGGAAATTGTCAAAAAGTAGAGGAATATTTGAAACCAGTGCCACTTACGCAAATTCACATACAATTCTCTCAGCTCCTACTCAATTCGCAAGATCATCAGAGAACAACTGTCTTCCAACGTGTTTCACGTGTCGCACAATTACAAACGCTCGTGTTTGTCTGCATTCGCCAGCCTTTGTGGCATCGTTCCACTTTCCGCGACGCGTTCGTTCGCGGAAACTTATCATTCGCCGCGCGCGCGAAAGCTGCACTCTAATCTCTTCTTTTCATCCACTCGCTTCCTCTTCCGCGCGACAGCCAGGCGAAGCGGTACGAGGTTCTCGTGGAAATCAGGAGCAATTGTTTTTCTTCCCTTTTTCTCTCTCTCTCTTTTCCCTCCTCGCGGACGAAGAACCCCTCCAGGCTCTCGTTGTTTTTCCAGTGGCGACAAAGCCGGAGGAAATCGCTTCTCTGCCGACGGGAGAATTAAGGAGGGCGAGGCTTTTTAGTGATTTACGCGCTCGCCAGCGTGTAAATTGAGCTCTCCGGTCCGCGAGTTTAGTTCCCCGTGGCTTTCGAGTATTTGTCCGCGTAGGCCAGAAGGGATGAACGGTTGGAGAGGGGCAATCGCGTGTGAAATTAGCGAAACGCCCGATGTACAGTGGGCGCGTTGTTTGCCTTTGAGAGTGCCTCGAGACGACGAAGGAATTTTGACGCGCGATCGTGTCAAGGAAAAGCCACCCTATATGGAAGTTTCTTTTAATCAACACCTTATCGACGAGCTATGAAGATACTGTTTTGTTCTGTTGGGTGTAGAAGTGAATTCTTTCCGACTGCATTCATGTTATTGGTTCAAAGCCACGAAGTTTGGCAAGCTGCCGGTAAAATGGCAAAGGGTCATTGATAATTATGGAAATTATCGGATGATTGCAAAAGTTCGTGGTCGATTTGAAAATGAAGCACGAGCGGTGTGTGCAAAGGCACGTTTCATTTGAAAGTAAAATGAAATAAGATGAAGAATTCTTTGAAAATAAAACACTTACATTGAGAATGTAACATGACGTTAAAACAAACATTTGTGCCGTAGTGTGATAAGGCTCACGCCACCTCTGAAAATCCGGCTGAAATTTTTGCAATCATCCAGTATTTCGATTTTTTTTTAAATAAACCTCTGATTGTACCCAAAAGTCGGGAAGAATTAATTTGTACAATGACAAATCATGTTAGATCACCTGTGATCATTGTCACACCTTCAAGTACTCCCTCGTTAGTGCACCGATTAGCCGTTAATAAATAGTTCATTCTACGACGTCTGTACTTATATTGAGAAAAATTGAAGGTAACCATGAATGTTTCGGAAGAAAAAATGTGATAAAGAGTGTACTATAGTTATCTTGAGGAACCCTTTGCGCCGTATTACGCAAAGAACAACATTTCGATTGGTATACTGAGAATAGTTCAGCCTGTATATAACTACCACTTGCATCGGAAGAATGTGAAAATAAGGAATTAGTGAATATCGAGATGACTTTGAGGGAATTTTGTTTTATCATCGTTCTGAAATCGTATAAACTCTTCTTAATTTTTTTTTTAAATTTTCAATAGCAGTGAAAATAATTCGATGCTCGTTATGAGAGTGACACCCTGTATATATAAAATAGAAATTA